TACTAGAGATGCACCGTCCCTACTGGAGATGCACTTCTCTACTAGAGATGCACTTCCCTACTGGAGATGCACTTCCCTACTTGAGATGCACCGTCCCTACTGGAGATGCACTTCTCTACTAGAGATGCACTTCCCTACTGGAGATGCACTTCCCTACTTGAGATGCACCGTCACTACTGGAGATGCACTTCTCTACTAGAGATGCAGTTCCTTACTGGAGATGTGCTTATCTATTGGAGATGCACCGTCCCTACTAGAGATGCACTTCCCTACTGGAGATGCACCGTCCCTACTAGAGATGCACTTCTCTACTAGAGATGCAGCGTCCCTACTGGAGATGCACTTCTCTACTAGAGATGCACTTCCCTACTGGAGATGCACTTCCCTACTGGAGATGCACTTCCCTACTTGAGATGCACCGTCCCTACTGAAGATGCACTTCCCTACTGGAGATGCACTTCCCTACTGGAGATGCACCGTCCCTACTAGAGATGCACTTCCCTACTGGAGATGCACTTCCCTACTGGAGATGCACCGTCCCTACTAGAGATGCACTTCTCTACTGGAGATGCACTTCCCTACTTGAGATGCACCGTCCCTACTGGAGATGCACTTCCTTACTGGAGATGTGCTTATCTATTGGAGATGCACCGTCCCTACTAGAGATGCACTTCCCTACTGGAGATGCATTTCCCTACTGGAGATACACCATCCCTACTAGAGATGCACTTATCTACTGGAGATGCACCGTCCCTACTGGAGATGCACTTCTCTACTAGAGATGCACCGACGACCGTCCCTACTGGAGATGCACTTCTCTACTAGAGATGCACTTCCCTACTGGAGATGCACTTCCCTACTTGAGATGCACCATCTCTACTGGAGATACACTTCCCTACTGGAGATGCACTTCCCTACTTGAGATGCACTTCCTTACTGGAGATGTGCTTATCTATTGGAGATGCACCGTCCCTACTAGAGATGCACTTCCCTACTGGAGATGCACCGTCCCTACTAGAGATGCACTTCTCTACTAGAGATGCACCGTCCCTACTGGAGATGCACTTCTCTACTAGAGATGCACTTCCCTACTGGAGATGCACTTCCCTACTAACTTGAGATGCACCGTCCCTACTGGAGATGCACTTCTCTACTAGAGATGCACTTCCCTACTGGAGATGCACTTCCCTACTTGAGATGCACCGTCCCTACTGGAGATGCACTTCCCTACTGGAGATGCACTTCCCTACTGGAGATGCACTTCCCTACTGGAGATGCACCGTCCCTACTAGAGATGCACTTCCTACTGGAGATGCACTTCCCTACTGGAGATGCACCGTCCCTACTAGAGATGCACTTCTCT